TGAGCCACCACGCCCGGCTGATATTTCTGGTCTTGATCACACATTTGAGTTATGAAAACTCAAATTTGGAAAAATAACTACATAAAAAATAATGGGAGAGTAGCAGTAGATAAAAATTATTTGTTGTGATGTTCTAACTGGCACATTTTCTAGCAACTACCTAGGAGTATGTACTACCCTAATAATATTGCACTTAAATTTAAATTTGAAAAAAAATGTTAATACTTTTAATTTTTGTTTTTCTTTTTTTTTCCCCAGTAAATTAAGGGAAAATAAGAAAACAGCAGAGCTGATTAAAACTGCCAACCTTCTCTTTAATTCCTTTGAGCCTTATTATATGTGGGATTACGTTGCACGTTGGTTTGAAGAATGTTGTAGGTATGTTCTTTTTTTTCATTCATTTTGATTTAGCAACATCCAAAGCTAACCTTTCATTTTAAGTTGTTGAATCTAATGAAAAGCATGTTGTTTTACGCATTCTACTACTACTGACAACTATTATTTACTAGCCATAATCTGATTCTATCTTGTTTCTTACTCTAGGATATAAAGTCATTGATCATATAATCTTAGAACTAGAAAGGAGTTTAGAGATGAGTTATTCATATACCACCATAGATGAAAGGTTTTTCTTCTCCAGTCTACAGTAACCCAGTTTTTCTTTGTTGTAGAGAAGATAGCAAATTTGTGGCTGCTACCTTACACACTTTTCCAGAAGGATTCCCACTTTGATTAACAAAAAACTTTCTGGTCACTTTTGTGTTTCTAAAGCCTTTAGAACCAGCCCATGTTGTCACTGGTGAGTGATAAAAGCCATCTACCATGTAGGACATAAAGCCTAAAAAATGGTCTGACAACCCTAAGATGCTAGTGAATCTGACTGGAATCTGTCTGGATTCTAAAGCAAATTCTCTTAGAACAAGATTAACGTCTTAATCCTAAGGAGCATGTAGTCAAAAAGTAAACATGTATGATCTCAGGATTAGAAGTCTTTTAATAAAAAATTTAAATGTTGCTACTATACATTAATCCCTTTAATAATTTAGAAAGTTGTTTGCTACTCATTTAGCACATGTCGAGCACCCAGATAAAAAGCACTGTGCTATGCAGATAGTCCCTGTCTTCAAAGACCTTATAGTGGAAACAAGTAAGACATGCACATATATATTCCTATTATTAAATTTAAAATTATAAAAGCCTTAATAGATTAAAATGTAGGAATGAAGAGGAATTATAAGTGTCTTTTCACCACCTTCCTCTACCGTGGGTTTTCATCTACATTCATAAACACGCACACCCCAGACACAAATCCACACTTCTTTAACTAACCTGGACTACTTCCTGAACACACATTAAATTTTCATACTGCTGTGCCTTCACTTGTACTATTCTTTCTAAAGTATTCTTCCCCCTTGCCCATCTGGTAAGGTCCTATACAGAGGTAACCCACCTTTCAGTAGCCTTCCTGACTCCCTCCCTTCCTGAAATTTCTTATCAGAATCAACTTCTCCCACACTGTCACATTGTTGCATTTATTTGTCTACATGCTTGTATTTCTTGTTGGGCAAGGACTATATCATTTTCTTACTTTGTGTCTTCAGAGTATAGGGCAATGTATGGTCATATAGAATTAATATGACTTAATTTGAATATTTGTTGGAGGAATGGTCTCTACTGCTTGGATCAGTAGAAGCTTCCTGGAGAGGTAACATTTGATCTCAGACCTTGAAGGTAGAGGAATTCTGAATATGAAAGAATGAGGTTAGGGAAGAACAGTAGTTCAGGAGGACAAATGGGTCTTTCTTTAAAGGCCCTGAGGTTAGAAATCAAGTAGCAAATAATTCAACTAGAAGTTGACATCTGTAGTGGGAGCAATGGGAAATATGTCTCAAAAAGTGAGATCTGTCCTCCAGAACACTTGGAAGTGCAGTACGGGAGTTAGGGAGGGATCCTGGGAATCTTGGTTTGAGAATTTTTCACAGAGGTACACATTCCATTTCCCTCACTCAGGAAACATACCTGGGGAAAATGCAATGTGTAATCACAAGAACATTACTCTGTGTGACCCAGTGTTTACTTGGCTCTCATTAGGAAGACAATGATGTTGTCACATGTATTCACGTGACTTGATAGTATACTTGATAAAGTGATTTTCCCTTTTAGGAGGACACTGCATGCCAGACTTCAGATTGGGCCTGGAGATAGTAGTGAGTCGTCTGAGTTACAGCTGACCAATTTCTGCTTACTGGTGGATTTTTTGTTGGATATAGTTTCTTTGGTAAGACCACCTTGGTAAAAAAAAAAAAAAAAAATTCAAGGAAATCTAATAACATAGTTCAGATATTTCATGCTGGAGGCAAACCTCATCTCTAAATAAATTTCATCTTTAAAATTAATTTGATTTTTCCCTTTAGAATAGCTTTTTTTCATAAAATTTTCTGAGTATATTGTCCTCTGACATATATGTATGCATATAAAATACATGGAATATACTTCATAATTGCATGTTATAAAATCTTAACTGTTTAGTGGTCTAACGCTGCACTGATATTCATTAATGATTTTTTCTATTAAATGAAGACTGTTGGAAATCTTTTCCCCTTCTGTTTTCTCTCCTCAATTCTTTGCTTTCTCATTTTGAAGCCTACTAGAAGTATGAGGGTGCTGTGTCAGGTATGACATTCAGCCTGTTTTGTTCTTAACTGATTCTGTTCACTTTTGTTATATTACAATTTTAATAATATGGCAGATAAAATGGGTTATTTTATAATATATGCTTTCGAAGCTCTTAAATTGAGAATTTGGGAATAGAAATTTTATA